TTTCGTGGACTAATAAAGACGAGACAAAACCAAATGCTTGATTTTACTCGAAGGGAGGGAATGTGGCCACATGATAGCTGGAAAAAACACAACAAACCTGAAGAGACGCGTCGCAGTTCACCACAAAGACATTACGGTAAGTTAACAGAAAGATTGTTGGTGGTTGTTTATAATGTGACATTAAATCAACGGCTATAATGTCCCAATGATAAACTAACTAATGTTGGCTAACTTTCATAGCATTTAGTATCCAGGCTGGCTACGTTACGTTAGCTTCATAGCACGTAGCGACCGTAGCCACTTGTTGATAGCATTGTACAGTACATGTGGACTAACAAAAAATGTTGACAGTCACAAGAAATTAGCTCAGCTAAAGGCTGCTGAGAAGAGACGCAAAATCTTCAGGATGTGAGTATCTTAGACTGTATCCTGGGATTTTTATAATGAAGTTAGCATCACATCTGGTGGTGTTGACTCTGTCAGGACTTTCCTTAACCGACGGTGTTTGCTATGGACCACAGTGGTTGTTTGAAATATTGAAGATAATTAGCTTATTGTGTCAGGTGTTTGGCCGGACTCACTGAGTAGCTTAGATTTGATCTTTGCTTTTGGAGGCACTTATGAGGAAATTATAATTAGATTTCTTTATTAGAAAGGCTGCTGCACATCTGCACAAAAAGTCACATGGGATTGGTATAGGAACTGATGTGGTGTTTTTCTATGGCTGACAAAAAGGGAACTGCTGCTTAACTAAAAATCAGTTTAACTCCTCTTTAACTGCTTTCCATTCTTTTTAATTTGTGTAACTGAAATTGATTGTAGATAAGAGACAGGAAGAAAGTACTTTACATAACTTCATTATGTTCCTTTAAATAGCTAAACAGATAAAGGTAACTTATATTATCAATACTGTTAATATATCCTTGTCAATCACAGCCAACTTGACCTGATTTTAATGCTAATATTGAAGACACAGGAAATATCGATCAAGTTATTTATTGTTGATTTTTTTTTTTCCAAACAATGCAAAATCTGTGGACGATTTTAAAGCAAAGACAAAAACATGCAATTGTTGTTGGCTGTTAAGGTGGTAATAATTGAAAATAAATTAAAAGTTGCTGATAACAAAATTTCTTACCAAGGGCTTGGGAGGCAAAGGTAGTCATGGCGCTTTGCAGGCGGTCAGGTCTTATGGCCTGAACCAACAGCACCTGTGTAAACCACAAAGTGAAGTTGAATTAAAAAAACATCAAGTAGAACAAAAACATGTTATGTACTTTTCTTGAAGAATTAAATGAAAAATTTAAGCAGCTAGACTTTAATATACAACTTGTACAGTAATTGTTAAAAGAAAATACAATTATTGTCACATCATGGGCGTTGAAGAGACATAGTCAACGTCTATAAGCTTAAAATTTCCACAGCAGTGGATTGAAGTAGGGCTGCTTCTTCCAGTTATCATTTTCCCTGTTCTTTTTTAACCTATATAGCGATCTTCCTCTCTTCTCCAAACTCACCTTTTCTGCCACTCTTTCATCAGTTTGTGATTGACAATAACGCTCTTCAGTTGTTACAATCCCCTCAAAAACCTCTCATGGCTTCGAAAATCCCCAAAACTGGAATTGTTTCTAGCATTTTTTTCCCTTCCACATAGCTTTCTTTTTACATGGCAGGACGCTGAACAGCCAACATCTTTAATAATAAACTACTGTATGCACTCCCCATGTGTAGGGAGTCAGTAGCTGCAAAAGGTCAAGTCTCCAGGTTTTCCCACGGCATAATAACAGAACACTTCTGAAGTAAAAATATTTCTTTAAAGTCTAAAAAAAAATTTGGGGTTTTATTATTTCTTACCCAAAATCATACAATATAAATAATAATAACAAGAAAACACTTAACATTTATTACTCTATGTGTATGAATCTATAGATGTTTCACATTTTGTTAAGAGAAGAATTTTGTAATGAAATATGCATAAAATAAAAAAGCCTAAATTTTCAAGATAGTGTAATGTTTGTAGTTGTATGAATGAAATCAACAAGCTCTTGCAAGCTTTACAAGCTTCTTTTCAAGAACATATAGAACCTTAACTAACAATTTCAGATTTTAAATATGACAAGTATTATAGACTTTTTAAGCTGAGTTTTTGCTTTTAAATGAATGGGTTTAGAAACTCCCTAATATTTATTTGCTTTTATTTTTTAACAAGTTACTTGTACAAAGTAAGAAATTCCTGGCCCAACTTTAAGGTAAAGTCAACCTAACAGCTAAGAAAATCTGATTTAATTTCATTATATTCACAGTGAAGAAGCTGAGTGGGAGCTGACCTGCTGGAAAAGACTAATCTTTCTGGTGATGGAAGACGGGATTTCCTGCTCACACTGTGAGCTTTGCATGAAGGACAGCCAAAGGTCTGAGTCACTCAAACACAGAGTCTGGTACAGAGTTGGAAAAGTAGTCTGCAAAGCAAGAGGTGGGGGGGGGAAATACAGGGATGAAAAGCATCACATTAGAGGAGTAGATCTAATAATCAGCTTGAAGAGGTTTCATTTACTCACAAACCTACCATCACATATAAATTCCTTCCATAAAATGTTTTATTTCAGTCTTGTTGAATCAAACACACTATGTTTCTAAATGTTTGGTCGCATTTTTTTAATGAAATTACAAATTATTTAAGTATTATTAGCATACTTTCAAAATGGCCAACGCTGCATGTCTCTCCTGGTCAATCCAAGAAGGGAACTCCTGAAGAGAAAAAGGAAAGCATGAGTCAAAAACAGAAATATTGTCTTATTGTTGAAATGAAATGATATGCATACATACCTCTTTTTTGAACATTTCTCCAACAATGGATCCAATTAAAACTTCCCATTCCTGTAACAAAGACATCAGTTAAAGATTGCATCAGGGAGGGAAAAACACATATGCAATCAAATTACACCTGACTTCAGAGACTCTAAAGAAGGGACAAAAAAATACTCACATTCTCTTGGAAGAGTTCAGAGTACATGCCTTTCACAAAATGCATTGCAAACATCAGCTGGTCGGCCTATGAAAAAGATGGAAATTGATTCATAAAGTCAATGATATACATTCAAAAATGATTGTGAGTTATAAACTAAAATACAGACCAAACAATATGCACATCTTAAGCGACCCTAAACATCATGCATATCCAAAGAGGATTTTATTTCTCAGGATGCAGTGTAGTGAAAAGCTATTAGCTGTGTAAGAGCCCTCCACAGGCTGAAAGTACTGCAAAGGATGCTGCATCATTGCTAAACAGTCCTCTGGTGCACTTACCCTACTGTCTTTCACATCTGCTTGTGAATTAGAATACAGATAGCAGATACAGCCATTAATCTACATGCTTATCCTGCTCCCACACGAAAACTGACAAAGAGATGCTTGATAAGAGATTTCAAATACAAAACCAAACCCCAATATGTTTTCCTAAATATCTCCAATTGATATTTTGAGATCATGTTATACATGGACCAAAGACAGAATGATATAACGACCGGTCACTACAACCACAGTATCCATTTTCTTTTCTGTGTAACGACGCATCAAAACATGGAAATTGGGCACCTATTTACACCCACAGTGAAATACAGGCACACTGCCTCAGTTGGCATGCAAATTTATGTAAATCTAATTTTTATGCACTTATCAAGTAGCTGGCAAGGACAGCTGAATTAAAATTACAACACAGGAGTAATATATGTTAACGCCATGCTTTGAAAAGTGGCAAAGAGTTAGGAGACGTTGTTAATCTAATCACTTAGCTCTAGTCAGATCTCCCTTGTTTTAAAACTAAGTATATGTAGGAGAGAAATGTTCATTTGCATAAAAAATTCCCTCATTGGAGGGTTTATTAATGTTTTGCAACTGTTTGGGAGTGACTCCTCAGAGGAAATGTGCTTTTACATTCCTGTTCTTTATATGCAACTGTGGATCCAATCTGTACATTTCAACAAATAGAGCAAACACCAAACTCCCAGTAGTATTCTAGTGTCAAGGCATTTACTCATCCACTGCTCACACGCTAACAACACAGAACAGATGTGGAACCTTTTGATACAAGTACTTTTTGTTTAGGTAAAGCTGCCAGCTGGGTTTGAAAATATGGCATTTTATTTATAAAGTAAAGCTTTTTTTAATGAGTCAACAAATTGAATTTATTCTTTGGGGGGAAAAAAAATTTTTTTTTTGCTCTCTGTAAAATTCTCTTCAATGAGCTCTCTTAAAGTCGTAGAGGAAATGGCTGTTCCAAACGTTGCATTTCCGAATTCTCCTGAGTGGTGCCCGACTTTACACAAGTGAATGTGATTGGTTGTTTATCAAGTGGGATGGATTGTTGTGGTGTGGAAGGTTCACCAGCATTTTTTATTATCTTGCTAACCAGTTAGCAACTTCATGCTAGTAGGTTCCCAATGGGAAATTACATTGGGAACAAATAGCACTTAGCAAAGACACTGTCAAGGAATGCTGTGGACAGAGGAAACATGCAAGAGGAGTAGAGTTTTGTGCCGGAGGTCATGGATGAGTCTCCTTTATAATACATTTTTTATTTAGAGGGTCTCGCAACGCTGCTAGTTCTGTTAGCTCTACGCCTGCCAAAGACACAGACGTCCATCCCCGTGCACACTGGGACTGAACTCAATGGTACAGTAAATTATTCTTATTTTTTATTTCAACCTTTGCATATATTAGCTGCGACAAATGAATCAAGATGCTATGAACGAAAAAATTTGATTGACAGATGATCGTTGATATATTATTGGCCGAATTTAGGTGTACAAGCTGACGTATAACTAACTGGCCTTCAAAACAACCCCCAAGATTTTAAGACAGGATTTTTTCTTAGAAATAGAAATTTTCTAACTTTGGGACATCATCGTCGATAAATAATACATTTATATACATGTTTAAGCCAGAAGGATTTGACATTTAAATATGACTCCCCTACGAATTTAATAGAGATGCACCCACCCATTTTTTTCCAATCCAATCCGTTACCTGCGCTGATATCAGCTACTATTTGATACCGATACAACTTAACTGTTGAAGGAATGAACTTTATATCTTGCCATATGAGTAAAGGCTTTAGCCTTAACATAAACATTGTTAAAAAAGGTAACAATTGAACACAAGTTATATTATTTATTAAAAAACAAGCAGCAAAAAGAAAGAAATAACACTTCCATGTAAAGTTCACTGAATTGGATCCATGATATTCGATATTAAATCACTGATATCCGATCCGGCTTATTAGCCATAATCAGAGCCAATATTCAATCCAGGTGTTGGATCGGTATATCTCGACTCTTATTTTAGGTGGTATGTAAGAAATCAGTATCAAGTACTTTCTGTCAGTTTTGTCGTATTACACTAGAGCAACCTGTAGTTGAAGCGTTAACGTTTTAAAGCACTTGGACGCTCATTCTCCCAAGCAGATTCCACTCAAATGCAAATCAATGACCCATGTGTTGATTTCCTGGGTCATTGGAATCTGACCATATGAGTTTTGTGTTAAGCCATTTGAATCATGCTGAGACTGCTTGAGTAACCTCTTTGTTCCAGGTAAGATTTGTGTATGATTAGTAGCTTAAACTGCGATGGACTGGCGACCTGTCCAGGGTGTACAATGCCTCTCGCCCATTGACAGCTGGAGAAAGGGCACCAGCACCCCTCGCGACCCCAATTGGGACAAGCGTGTCAGATAATGGATGGATGGATAGTAGCTGAAAGCTCAATCCTCCCCTACTGGTCAGAGACAGATTTTCTCTTCTGACAAATACAGCTTCCTTCATCCCTCTTTCACACCATCAGCCCTCTTTGTTAAAGATCTGAATATATCAATACAGGTTTAAATGTTATCTATAAAATGTATTTGTATCTATAAGTTTTTAATAATTTTTTTCCTTTGATAATTATAGAGTAACACAAGTATAACAAGCTTGTATTGGGCTTAGACTTGCCACTTCTAAGACTCTACCTTGAGTGTCGGAACAGCTTTAACTTGTAAGTATAGTAATTGGTGCAAAAGTTTTTGCAACTCAAAACAGCAAGATAGATCTTTGTTTAAAGCATCTGAATAGTGTATCGACCTTTCTCTAGCCAGCTGACAGGCAGTGTATAATCACATGTATAGCGGGGGGCTGCTCTATTGTAGCCACAGCCTATTCTAGACACAGTCAGGTAAATCTGGCAGTCTTTTCTTTTTTGTAGTAAATCCGTTTACAATAAGGAAAGACAATAAATTGTAGCTTTTAACCCTTTGTACACTTTGATGTCCATAAAAGAACTGACTAAAACGTGAGTTTAGAGTCTCTTCTATCAATTCTAAGTAATTAGGGTGGCATTGTGACGTGGTGGTTATCACCATCGCCTCACAGCAAGGGGGTTCTGGGTTTGAGTCCCAGGGAAACCAGGACCTTTTTGTGTGGCTTGCATGTTCTCCTTGTGTCTGCATGAGCTCTTTCCAGGTTCTCCAACTTCCTCCCACAGTCCACAAACCAGCATATTAGGTTGATTGGACATTCCAAATTGCACTTAGGAGTGAGTGTGTATGGTTGTTCGTCTTAGCGTGACTGTGTGTGTCCCTGGACTGGCAGACCATCCAGGGTGTACCCTAAATCTCGCCCATTGACTACTGGGATAGCCTCCAGTTCCCCCCACAACCCCATTTGTGAATAAGCAGTTACAATAATGGATGGATGGATGAGTAAGCATCATGTATAAGCTTCACATGCCTGGTTTAGTTTTTCTACCTTTACTGTGAATCTCCCACAGGACAAGCTGTGCATCCTACAATTATCTATTCATTAGAACCTGTATATCTCCTTTTCTACTTCATCATCTGTGCTGCACGCTGAAGATGAAAAAAAAACATGCATTAGTTGTTTTCTCTCGGGTAAAAGCTGAGCTGCTGCTGTTAGTTGAATATACATCTATAAGCAACCACCTGAAGTGCTTCAAATTCCCACAACCCCACAGGCAATACATTAACATCCCAACACACACGTAGCACAAACATGTTACATTTAACATTTACTGCCTGATCAATAACTGGGTTGCTCACCTTTGGACCCATTATCAGAGTGTTTGATACAAAGGTTACACTGCAGAAAGGAGTTAATATGTGAGACTATCTGATTGTGTCTTTCACCAACCGCATCTGTAAGAACACTGTTACAGATCCAAGCACGTAAAAAAAAAAAAATGATAAAGGGAGTTGCAGCCTGAGAAGGATGCAATCTCAGTGGTTTGAATGTCACTATGGGCTGAGCAGGACCCTAAGCCCCAGAAGGCTCCCCAGGTGCTGCACAGTGGTAGCCAACTGCTCCCTACAGTAGGTGATGAGTTAGATGCAAAGGACATTTTTCCTTTAAATGCACAAAGCTACTATGACAAATAAAGATGACTTCTGAAATGAGAATATTCAGATATATACCAAAAAAGCACATAGACAGTTTGATCTCTGATTTAAATAGTGACACTACAAAATTTTTTTATATGGTTCAACATTTCTGTGGAAAAGGGAATACTTTATGAATCAACGGCTGCACCTTAAAAAAAGATTCTTCATATAAAAGAAATTTTTAAAAGAACAAAACTTCCACACAGTGCAATCAGCAGGAAGCATCCCTTCAAGTTGCTACCAACTAGTCCCCTGAATAAATAACAGATCTGATTATGGATAATTTCACAGATTTTCAAAGAACCCATTTTATTTTATAACAATGTGTTTTACCTTGAAAAGTGAACGGCAGACATATTCATACACCATAATCTTCAAGTTGTTCTCCAAAGCAGAAATTCTGGCCTCTGTATTTAGGTCCTCCTGAAATGTACATATTACTTTATGGTAAAGTTTGATGTGCATGGATTATCAAAGATGGATTTCTGATATCAGAAGAAATAAAAAATAAAAAAGATTCACACATTGATTCTTTAGGCGTTTTTGAATGCAGCACCAAACATCTGCTGGTCTATAACTAATTCTGGCTTAAAATGTGAGCTGCAACCTAATGAGCATTTTAATGATAGCATTACTTTCAAAATGTGCATTCTCCCTAAGTGTGTCTTGTTTTTCACCTCTTCTACACAGTCTTCTCATTTTTCTAATGAACAAAGAGACAAAATGAAAGAATAATAATAATAATAAAAATGAATTAACACAGAAGAACCTATTAAACATAAAGCTATTTGTTTTTATTACAGTGAGAAAGCACAGTGATAGATACTGTAGAAGAAAGGTGCCTTTTAAATGTTCATGTGTTTACAGAGTTTTTCATATGTGTTAAAACCCTTTAAAGTTTTTCATATTTTGTCACAATAGAACCACCAACTTAATGTAAATGTTTGGATTTTGTGAAATACAAAAAAAAATAAATAAATGCATAAAGCCCTGGTCTTGTGGTAAAAACTACTATAATTCTTTTTCAATGAGTTTCTCCTTTCCACTTTTCTATTAAGACCCAACTGTAGGACTTCTAGTTGTCTTTTCACCAGAGTTTTTGATCTCTACAGCACCTAAGAGTCTCTTTTGGCATTTGGCTGCTTCTCTGATTGGTACTAATCATTTCTTCAGAGGATGGAACTGTTCGTAATTTTTTCCCTGACCTGTCTGCTGTGTTCTTTGCTCTCTTGATGCTATTTGTTTACTAATGATCACAAAAATAACAACTGTGATGTCTTTGCAGAACAGCCAAATTCATATCGACATTACACCTCAGTAGCTCGTACTCTATTCACCGAGGGACTTCTGAAGGTAATAGCTTCCACTGGATTTGATTCAATGTTATCGAGGTAAGAGCGGAAAATACAAATGCAGGGAACAAATTTTACATCTTTATTCATAAAACATAAAATCCCTGGATCCTTTCCCTCTGCTACATCCCACCTTATAAAGTGCAGTGCATGAGAGTGAAAGCCACAGTGTGTTAAATCAACCATGACAAAGTTCGGTCTTTTTCCAGATCTCATGAAACACATGCAGCACATGGCAAAAAATAAATAAAATAAAAAATTTATTTAATATGCCAAACAAGCAAACAACACACTGGAATCAGAGTCTGTAAATTGTTGCACCTATTCTGATCTGAGTCACTGACGGTGTCCAAACACACACGAACACACACGTAACAGCAGTGGCAAGCTGCTGCCATCAGGTGACACTCTTGGATGACAGAGCTGGCTCTGAAAACCCACACAGGATGTCACAAATTAGTAGTCTTCATCTCCCAGGCCTTTGTTTGTGTATCTGTGTGTGTTTGCATGTGTGTGGGTGCAGGTTCTGATTATCACACGGTTTAGGGCTCAGTTTGAAACAAGCAGTGTGACAATCTATGGTGCTCTCATGCTGACCTTCTAGTTTTAAATCTATTACTTTGTTTTTTTCATTCTTTATTTCGTAGCGTCGTCTACTCATTTTATAATCTTTACCCTGCTTTAAAGTTAGTTGTTAAAAAACTAAATAAAGCCAAGCATAAAGGTCTATTTTGCAGCCCAGCTTTAGAGACTGTAAAATATTCTCTGTGGAGAAAATCAAAACTTACCCAAATGTGGAGGTAAAAATGACAAAAAATTGATGTTTTATTGCATTGGAGCACCAGCACAGGTGCATCTTGGTACAGTAAAGTAAGGATTGGAAAATATCTAGCTACATAAAGAAAAAAAAAATTTAATATTGTGAAAAAAAATTATCAATAAGATTGTTGTCACATTTCAGAAACTGAAACTCCATTTATTATATAGATGCATCACAAGTAGAGTAATATATATTTCAATCCTAATCATTTTTGTAACTTTGATCGAAAATGTGAATATCATGAAAGAGTTAAACAATAAAACCTCATGGTTTTACACAAGAATCAGCTACTTAACTCCAAACACCTGTAAAGGTTTCCTAAGTCTATCAAAGTATCTGAGGGGAGAGATTGACAAAATGATGGGAAGCACTGCTGTCTGGGTGGATGTCCAGTCACAGTCTTTCCACAAAAGCTTCCAGTTGAAAAAGCTACTTATTTACATAGAGCTAGATTCAAGTATATTCATAGAAAGTTTAGTGGAAAGTAAAAATTTGTAAGAAATGTGCATCAGCAATAGGGATTACCACAGCCTCTGGAGAATTATCAACCAAAATTCACTCAAGAATTTAGAAGAGCTTCACAAGGAGAGAAATTAAGTGGGAATCGGTCCATCAAAAGTCAATAGAAACAAAGGACTCCTTCACATGGACTTTAAGCATTGTATTCTTTGTTCAAAGTGACTTCTGTATCACAATGTCAGAAGCGTTTTACCTTCTCTGAAAGTCATGTTTTCAGAGGAAACTAAAGATTGCATTTAATGTGAAAAACATTGTCCCAGGATCTACAGGAAGAGTAAAGAGCAAAATAATGCATGTTGTTTGACGTCTAGTGTAAAGTTTCCACATTCAGTGATGATTTGGGGAATAACACTCTGCTGGTGTTGGTCCCCTGGGCTTTTTGGGGTCCACAGTCAACACAGTCATCTATCAGGAAGTGCTTAGAGCACGCCATACTTCCCTCTGCTGACAAGGTCCATGAGATGCTGATTAATTTATTGCTGGCCTTACTGTCAAAGGAGCTAAAGGTGGTTCAATGGCCATAGAGTGACTGCTTGACTGACTTTACTCCAATCCTGAAGTTCATGGAGTTTTGTCAAGAGGAAAATGAGAGAGACAAGACCGAAAAATAAAGACGACCTGAAGCCTGCTAATCAAAACAACCTGGGTTTGCATAACACCTCAGCAGATTCACAGGCTGGTTGCCTCCATGCAGTTAATCATGCAAAAGGAGGTCCCAACAAGTATTCAGAGCATAGAAATGAACATGCTTCACAGAAGCCTAACAATTCTTTATAAAGTCTCCTTTTAAGTAACATTGTGTAATATTCTGGTTTTCTTTAATTGAATTTGGGACAGTTATTTTCAGAATCTATAAGATATAATTAGCAGAATTACATCACTCTATGTGTAATTAATCCATACAAGCTTAAATTCTGAACTGATTGACAAAATATCTTAGCATTTTACAATTGAAAATGTACCCATAGAAACTCAGCATCAAGGTTGTCCCTTTTTCACATAGTAGTTTCTTACAAGACGGTGGCAATAGTTCATCACTTCCTTTAAATTACAAGCAATCTATGACCTTCTGGCAGCCAAAAGTACACCGGTTTTCAAAGTAATCGTTTGACATTGGAACTAAGGTTGAAAAATAAAGCATGAGGGAAATGGAGGCGCTATTGGGGGATGTATTATGTCTGAACCGTTGCCAGGTAACTAGTAGGAGCTTATACAGGATTTAAAGTGCTAATCAGGAAGCTACAGTGATTTCTGTTGTTACTGTGTTTTTTTTCTTTATCTCTCACTACTATTTGACAAAGATAAGCCAGCAACTTCTTCTACTGTTTGGACTTGTTTCTAAGTCCACTGACTGCTCTGCAAACAAGTTTATAAGTCGATTTCCAAAAATGTCCCACAAAGTTGAACTCTCTCTGTTTTAATCAAGCAAATAATAAAACAACTTTCAACTGGAACAATAATATCTATCCTCCTAAACGATATTTATGTGATTTCTTCAGAAGAAAGTCTACTGTTAGTAGAGTTGATTGAATACTGCATCATCCATCATGCTGTCAGGTATATTAATCTGACAGAGGGCTAGCTTGCACTTCAGCTGAATTTTTGAAAAGATGGATTACAGCCAGAGATGCACAATTCGATCGGGCAGAGATCATGATCGGCCAATTTCCCCTCAATTGGTCCTGTTTACTAATAGGCAGGGTGAATATATAACAAAAAAAGTTATTTTCCTTTTCATAAAATACAACAAAAAAAAAACTAAGAACTTCACAAACTCACATTGAATGAAAGCAGATTTTAAAGGTTAGGAACATACGCTATGTAGGACAAACAGGGATGATTTTAGGACTTTTTTTTATTTTCTGTTAGATTTAAAGGAATTCCTCTACCAAAGAACCTCTAATGCAGTTTTTTTTTTTATTTTGTTATTGTCCTAAGAAAGAAAGAGGTTGGAACTGGTCAGTCTAATCTAAAAAAAAAGGAGGAGATCAGTATCAATCAGGAAAATCCTAATAGTTAATCTATGAACAGAACTAATTCTTATTAAACATTAACCAAACAAATCCTCATCATCTAAAACACTTTGACTTAACATGATATGATTCACATTTTGCTGTTTAAGTTATGTTTGGTTTCAGATCTTATTGAGTGTAGCATGTTAGCTGATTTCTCTGCACAATTTCTTTTGAATTGAAGTTTTACTCTGTTTTGTAATGATATGAAGTTTCTCTATTATAGGAAATGGGTGTATGACTGTGTTGATATTGGTACAAATTGATAAAATATTAAAAAAGCATGAAAGGGATTCTTACCTTCTTGGATTGAAGGGCTCTTTGAAAGAGGCGCAAAAAAGAAGCAAGACTGAAGCAGTACATGTTGTTGATCTTTGACAGGTCTGTGATTACAAAATACATCTTGCTGGCACTCTCTGCAAAGGGCAGGTAGGCATCCCTCTCCTAGAGAAATAAAAAAAACATGTTATAGTCGACAACAGAAGGGATGAGACCAAAAACAAGTAGCAAAGAAATTTTACAGGCTGTAGAAAGTTATATAAAACACCACACATTTATGATGATTAAGGAGGCTGATTTGGATGAAATGCAAAATAATGGAACCAAATATTTTAATTAAAAAAAGGATGTGGAGATTAAGAAAAGAACTGGGAGGGCAGCTTGGAGTGTGATGAGGTATAGAATGTAAAAGACTAACAAGAGATTTACAAGAGAAATACAAGAGATATGTAAAAGAAAAAAAAAACAACAACAAGGTAATGCATAAACAAAAACAAGTAAAAGAAAAACAAACATTGGTTCTGGTATAACACTGCTCCCTAGAGGATAATCTGGTACTGCATCGTCAGCGCTCATCTGTGCTTCCCAGTTTCTGTTGACCTTGGTCAGCAGCCATATATGTAAGAAGTTATTGTAAGCAACTTTACCTGCAAACTACATTCAATTTCGGTCCCCCTTTTTTTTTAAAAAAAAGTCAAAAATCAGATTAAATTCCACTTGCATATTTTAAAGGCTTTCAAATGTTTTATTTCAATTTATCCTAACATTTTCTAAAACTTATATACCGTACATTAAAAAAAAAACATATAGGCATTTCTTCTTTTACTGTTCATGGTTATTTAGAATTACTAGAATAATGGCAATGCTCTAGATGGCAGAATAATATCCTATTGTCTATGAAATTGGAAATTTACTTACTGGTAAATTAAAATGATTTACATTAAAGCACTTTAGATAAGCAATGGAAAGATTTATTAACAACATTTTAGGTAAATAGAGTCTCCCATGTTGATGCACTATAAAGGCATCATCTCAAAACTATGTCTTCATGGAAGACATCCTATTAAAAAATCCCAAAACAACTGCCAAAGAATGGTGAGCACAAGTAAAACAGTGAATAGCCTGTCGAAGGTCTCCAAAACGTCTGACAAATCACGCCATTTAAAAGGCAATTCCAACAAACACTAAGGTAATGTAGCAGGGCTTCTTTATTAGAGGAAAAAAGGTTATAAAAAAATATTTTCCATGCTTCTTTGCAAACTAGTCAAAATAAATACTGTAGGTAGTCCTAACTAGCCTTAAAGATTATGTCTTTTCATACAGTGCAAGTAAAAAAATATGTGAAGTAGAAAAGCAATAGGGAAAAAAGCAGCATTATAACTGAATATCACTTGACTTAACTAAAATGTAACTTTCAAACAGCTTGTAGGATTGTGTATCAGGTTTGTTTTCTGCAGACAAACAAGTTTGAGTACCTGGTCCAAAGATGCCTGCAGTCTGTGCGACTCCACCAGTGACTCCTGGATGAGGGCACTGCTCGCCTTGGTTTGGTTTAAGCTGTCAATCAGCTCCCTGTTCTCCAGAATATTACCTTGAGCTGTAGCCAGAGTCTGATGCAAAGAAAAACAGACAGATGGACAGGTTATAATAAATGAGTGGGAGAGATGGAAAAAAAAAACAGGGTAGAAGAGAGAGAGAGAGAAAATGTTGTTAGTTTCTGTGAAATTACCTCAAGGCTGTGATCTGATAAAAGTTGCAAGAAAAATATTTAGCCTCCAACTGCATGTGTGAAGAATTTTAAACTCTTCTTAAATAAGTGTTAGAGGGTTCTAGAACTCCCCCATCTGGCTCTATGGAACCTATTCTCTGGAATAAAGTGATAAAAATGTATTCAAATAAATTCAAGTAAAATAGATGAAAAACCAGCAGAGCATGGAAATGTCAAGTCGAATATGCTGCTACGATTCAAGAATAATTACATGTCTAATACCACTGAAGCACTGACATCTGGCTGTTGGCATTAATTTTCTCTTGGGGCTGAGTTTCCAATTGTCCCTTTGACTACACAAAAAAAGATCTTTTTGTTACATGGCCATGAGTCAGAGTGTCCATCACTATGGTGTGCCAGGCGACATGACAAAAGCAGGTCAGGAAATATTAGAATTTCCTAACGATACGATAAGGCAAAGGGATCCTGATGGCATCTCAATTGCACACTTATGTTTCTGCTCTCGATCAAACAATGCTTTTTTTTTCTTCTTTTTTTTTTTACATTTAACTTCATAAATTGATTTGAAATTGGCACTATCCTGTGTAATGCTGCCCTTGTCTAACTTTTAAAATTACCATTATTATTTGTTTGCTGGCTATCCAGGTTTATTTTAAGGATTAAATATGTATTTCACTGTGGAGATGACTGAAACATAACATAGCATAACACAAGTAGACCCTTAGAACCTGTAGATGACAGAAAATACCATTGGGTAGACAGAAGATTGGCTCCATTTCAAGGTCAAAGAAAAAGAAAAAACTAACCAAGAGACAGTACCCCATCTGTTAAAAACAATATTACACATCAGTCTGCACTGAGAAAATTGCCGGCCCCCCACAACCATGCACTGTAGAGGCCCACCAGCAGCAAACACCAGCCCAACATACGATAATGACAGAAATAATCACCCAGTGCTATGGTACCTTACAATGAAATTGAACCCATCCCTTATGGAGCAGTGCACAGCTTCCAAAGCCCAGAAGCATAGAGGGGTTAAGGGTTTTCATCCAGGTGACAGCCTTGAGGTTTGAACTGTTGAGGGCACAAATGCTTTGCTCTCTAACCCTGGGCATGCAGTCCTCACCCCCATCCATAATTATCTGTAAACCATACATGCCAAACGCAGTATGCCAGTCTATCAAATATTCCCTATGTTTGAAAAAAAATTATTGAACTGCACAAACTGATTAAAATCTATTTTGACATGCTCTTATGGTTGTTATATGTTTTTACACTATGAATTTGCGATAAAATTGAAAAGTTGTAATTCTGCAAAGTAAATAAATAAATCACCCTACCATATTTTTGCTATATTAACCATGCTTTTTTCTTCTTAAGGTCCACAGAGGCTTATTCCCCATTTGTGTGGTAGCGGTCCATTTAACTTTCCATCTGCTTGGAGCAATTGGAATGACTTTAAATATGCAAAGTGTATTACATGATAAAGTTTGATAGTTTGCATTACTATTCCCTGTTTGCTCTATAATTTACAGAATAGCCTTGCATAGGCATGACTTAAACTGCAACCCAAAAGACTTTACTTTATAAAACAGACATGTAATACTATACAAGCATGTAATGGTCCTTTATCACTTTTTTTAGTACCCTAACTCTTGTAAAATTATTTGAGAGGTAAATCAGTATTTTTCCAAGACCACAAAGAATGGAACAGAAGGGAAACTACAGCCATTAAAGCCCCCCTGAGGCACCCACTGGTTAAGGAGGATGGGTGGCGTAAAAGAAAAGCCTTCTTGCTTCAACCAAGAAACGTAGGATCAATAGCAAGCTCTGGGTGCTTTGGGCTTCACATGATACACTGGACAGGTATAGTGATTGCAACAGTATTCCCTGCTCCTGCTCCAGCTTTGTCTGTGCACAACACTCTATAAAGCTAATCTACATTACATTATTACACTAGCAGTGGAATGTAGAGTCTATCTGCAGCACTGTGGACAATAATTGTTCTGGGAAAAAAAAGAAGCTGTATGCAAAACTCTTTTGGTGCACAGACTAATGATGATGATATTGTCAAACATGTAGGGCCTGTAAATATTGCAGAATGTCTACCTCTAACAGAGATTCTTCCAGCTGGGCCAGCTGTATCTTTTTGTCCTCCTCTTGTTGCAGCAGTCTTGTTTTCTCAGTCTCTAATTCAGGCTTCTCGTGCTGGATGGTCAAGGCTAGCAGCTAAATTACAAACACACAGGGATGTTGAGATGGATTAAAACTAGTAAAACAAAAAAAAACAAGCAATGCATTTCTAATGTTCCAGTGAAAAACAACATGGATTCTGCTAATGAACCCATAAACTCAAACTGCTTATTGGAAAAAAAGAGCATGTAGTGCATTCTGTACTTTATCTTTATTTCCCAGCTGAGCTGTTTAAACGCATAGCTGATGTGTTTGTGTTTGAGTGTGTGTCAGGTTGGATACCTGTCCCCGCAGCCCTGCCCTGGTGGTGGTGAAGTTGACCTCTGTGACCACTGATGCGGCGTCAGGTGGGATGAAGGGACTGGGGTTCCGTGTTGCAAGGAAGAGACGGAAGTCCTCGTTGTAATCGATAACTTTGTCCCCAATCTGGACCACATACCTTGGACCTGTAGGTAGGATTGTGTGTAAACATAAAGATGCTAGACACTTCTCAAGATGGTGTTCTAGTCAGACATATAATTCTGTCTAAAATGGCCATTTAAAAAAAAACAACTTTATATTCTCATAAGTTGTCCTTTAAATTATCTATTCTGGTTGCTGCAGTGCAGTATTTTCAGACCTATGTTCTCACTCTTTTTTCCACCGTGTTAAGCATCAATTCTAAGTGGATAACTTGCCCTTTTGCATAGTTCTTCTGTCTCCACTCTTTCTAATTTAGCTTTAAATTGACAACCTCCTATCTGTGGATGACTCAGAGCCTTATGAGTCATGCTCATTTTCACAGGTAAGGTTTCCAATCAGAGTTATATTTATGTGATCAGTATGCAATTGCCCACAAGTTATATCACAGGCTTTCAAAACAGTCACAAAGAAAATATATTTTTTTCTTTGTGAGTTTGCTTTTCTGTAATAAGTTTTTCAACATAGTTTTGATGTATTAAAATGCCAGGTAAATGCAAAAATGTCACTATTTTGTTAAAAATTATCTTACATAACAGCTTGAGTTGGTGGACACCATCTTTCTCTAAATATTAAAATGCATTATAATCCTTTCTCTATTTCTAATCCATAAAGACTTCAATAGGAAGATGAAAACCAGCTTCTTATGGTAGGTGCTAACTTTGATATTCAAATAATACAAATACTGGAAATTAACGCACAAAGAGCAAGCTTTTATTTAAAATCAAAGTAACTATAATAAAAGATAACTAACAATTAATGGGATGAATATAAACACTCATTGTAAAGATCTGCCTTCAACCTCAACAAGTTTTTTTTTTTTTTTACATTTAGATGTTTAAAAATTAACTAGGGACCTATGGTTTGGGTTTTTAGACCTGGTGAAACGTTATCAATTGTCTTGCTAATCTATTATAATGAATTTTTGAACCTAGTGGTCACAGTTACTAGTCTGAGGGTACAGAGAAACCTAGGGTATGGGCAACATTTAATCTCACACCGCATGGCTCTGTTCTACTGTCTGTGCTCCTGCTCTGCTCATTTTCTGTGTTTGATCGACCACAGAAACAATCCAATCAAACACAGGCCTTTTTAATCCAATTAAAGTAATTCCTGCAAATACCGCACTCAGATGGATGAAAACAACCAATCACAACCAGTGAATCAAAAATGCTGCACCGACCGTGGCAGATTACAAAACCAAACGGCAGGGTAAAATGTTATATTGGAAGTTTATTGGCCTTTGTTAAATAACGTTCACAAGTTTATACAGGATCGATTGTGTGCTTTCTTTACAATTTTTCTGAGGCTTTTTTATTGTTTATATTGATATAAGAATTATATAAACTGAAATTAAGATACCGGTATATATTGTGATATTAGTTTTGGCCATATCATCCAGCCCTGTCCTGTCTGATGACAGTCCCTTGTTAACTTGTGTGATAGTTCACTTCTCAACATTATTATTAATTTCTTCATAATACTCCCCGTGAGTACACCTTTGATGTATTTGACACTAAGTGCAATTGTAATATTTATGATTGTCACGAGGTTTTATTATCACTTTAGATGTCTACTAGACATGGACTGCCTTCAAGCCTGACGGTAGTCTATACAACAATTTTTATTTATTTTATCAATTAACAAATGCAGGATTTCTCCACAGATAATGATTTTAAACAGCAAATGAAAAAAAAATCTAGTTCTGCTAAGTTTGCGTTTCGTTGGTAGTAGACCCATGAACAGGTTCCTCTCTTAAAGTTCTTCTCTGGCTGAATTTCCAAACATCACTGACTGGTCTGGCTGTACGTCTCAAACACTTGCCTGCTTCTGTCACATCACTCCCCAGCAACCATAAGTGTACCTGGGAAACTTTTCAGTTAGATAAATGTTTAATAAATGATTATATTATCTAAGCTGAACATAAACACAATTTATTAAAATACCTTCAACCAAATCTCTCAATGGAAATTCTAAATGAAATCTTAGTGGGTTATGTTTCTGCTGCCACCAACAGCTGATTCCCTTTGAAAATGCCTTTAAACAGTTGTTAGAAAAGGTGGAATTTCATTCACATTAAATGTGCCTTGTCTAGCAGCAATCTTAATGACAATCTAAAGCATGTTAACACAGCAATTCCTGTCTTCAGAAGCTGTAAGAAGGGCATTCTTCCAGGACAGTTCAATGGATTTCAATGGACAGATGCCTTATACTTGAAGTGCATATTTAAAAATGTGGTGATATCACACAACAGGTTTTTCCTACCAGGTAGAATGGAGGAAATTTACCGCTTCCAACACAAAATCCAAGATTTCTGCCTGTTTCATGTAAGCTTAAAAGCACTCCAGTTCTATAGCTTCTTTGTTTGGAGCAATAAAAAAACCCTCCAAATATCAGAATCAGAGGGTCCATAGCGACTTGGTTTGGTAGACATAGTGGGTGATGCAGCAGATTTTCAGGAAATTGTCCTCGAATCTTAACAAAATAAAACCTGGCGAATCCAATCAGTGTTGGTCATGTTTCCAGAATTTCCTAAAATCCACCCAATGCTCTTGACATGTCTTACGTATTTTCCCGCATCTCGCTAAAAACAAGTAAACTAACCGAAATAAAGTTACTAGAAGAAAAACAAATGAGACACTAAAAAAACAACTGATCACCTGTCTTATGATCAACCTGTTGTCCAAAGAAGCATTCCTCTTTAAAACAACTTTCATAAGACCCGTCTGGAGTGATAGAGACACAGTTTTGTTTTTTTTGTCTGGGTGTATGAGGCAAGCCCCCCTCCTTCACTTGTTTCTATACACTTATATACATTTCAGTTACTATCAACCTGCAATAAGCAAGTTTAGATTAAAACTAATACTATTCTATTGTTTAAAGTTGAGCAATTTGATCTTTTTTGTAATATACATTCATAAAAGTAAATAGTAAATAGATACAGTAAATAGTAATAGTAAAAAGTAAAGAGATAAATAGTTCAAACTAAGCAACTGTAATATTTATTTTCTTACATGACACACAATATTACTTTTCAATTTGGTCTTCATACTGGCCCAAACTTGCTAACACAACTCAGCTTAAGGAACAGCAAGTAGTAAATGTTGCTAATGTAGAGATTTTCTCCAGGTATTTATCTTCTTAACTCCACAAGCAACATTTTACTGATATTTAAAAGAGTTTGTGAACCAGACAGAGTAGAAAAACTCCAGCGTGTGTGTCTATGTGAATACCTTGAGCTATGAGGTCTTTCCTGAGCAGCGGATAGAGCACCGGTTCGACACCATCCATCTCTTGGATGATAAGTGTTTTTCCAAATCTTACTGCCAGCTCCACTGATGTCATGAAATTGTTGTCCTGAAAGGGTAGAAACATGAAAGGTAAACCTTTGTTATATTTCAAATTGTCAAATTCAAAATTGGACAGTTTGGTGTGAAATAATACCGAAAAACCTGAAAAGATGAAAATGTGTAAGAACCTATGTGGAACTATCCAGTTCAAAAGAGAGGTAGTACCATGAATTAATATATGATTAAAGCATCATCTGATGTTCAAAGTTAGTAACTTCATTTTCATTTAATCTCAACATTACAGTTTTAAAATAAATGGAGTGTTTTCCATTTTAAGATGTATTATTTCTGCTGTAAAGTGTGTCTGTTTTACCTTTTTCAATGCATTTTCGTCTTGAGTGTACCTGAATGCTTTCACACCTTAAAATTCCCACTCTGGGATGGACTCTATTCTATTCTTTTGTGTATATTTTTGATTGCAATAATATTTTTGCCCAATGTACCAAGTGACAAAGCTAAATATAGCATAAATTGAGAACTCCAACACTATAGAATGTCTTAGTTGAGTAGCTGCAACTGGAGTTATTAAACCCAGGGGGGAAAAAATGAAACATTATAAATATATTCACATATTTCTTTTACCTGTTGGTTAATAACCTCTAGTCTCTGTTCTTTAAGATGTGTGCGTAACCATTCTGTGGCTCGAGATGATGGGTCGATCAGGAATGGACAGGCAACACTCTGAGTAGAGAGAAATAACAAAATGACACATTTTAGGACAAGACACAACTAAGAACGTAAACTAACTGAGAAAAGGGATAAGAAATGTGTGCACATAATGCTGTTACAGTGCTACTATGCTACTTGACTGTCATACAGTCATATCAGGTGAAGGACAGTTACTGCTCTCTATGTCATCTGCTCTGTTACTTTATATCATTTACAAGATTTTCCGTGCTACACTATTGCAAGTTTCCATTCCAAACCCCAGACATTTTTTTAAGTGATTGAAATTTGACATAATAAGCTTCATTTTTTTCTTAAGCCAGAATACAAATTACAAATTAAAACAAGATGATACATATTAAACGCTGTACAAACCAATTATCTTCCAAACCAACCATTGTCATTTCTTTGTATCAAAAAAAGCCTTAAACAGAGGAGTTCAAAAGCTGTGAAGAACCAGAGAGTCTGGTGTTCCAACAAAATATATTCCATAAATGAAGGGCCTCTGATATTAAATGAGAACATTTCTGCTAAAAAATCATTTGGTTTTCACATTATTAATATTATTTCATCTAATAAAGACTAAGTATGGCAAGTTTCTAATGGCGACACACAGAAGGATGTTAAAAACAAAAGAGAAAAAAGCCAGGGACTACGGAGGTGAATATGGGAGCACATTCTTACCTGTAGCTTGAGTGTATTAATCTGAAGACAGCAATGGTAGAAACAACACATGCAAATAAATGGGTGACATGTGAATGGCAGTGATGAACACATCTTTTTAAAATAAATATAAAACTTCAGAGGAGACGTCAACATTAATCTGCCACAACAATGAAATCTCATGTCCATTACTGTTTCCCTTCACCTGCTGCAACTTGTCACAACCATCATTGTAGTTATGGTTAATTTGCACAATTGAAGCTTTATTGTGACACAGCTTCACTGACATTTTAGTTCGGACAAATCAAATGAGTCCTTTTTAAACATTTCCCTAAAAAAGGTCCTCCTGAAATCTACAGTTTTATTAACATTAAACAAACACGGTTCGTTTTGCTTCATTTCGCTATTTGCTTGTTTCCTAATGACACCCCTTCACAGACTGCTGCAGATTTACAAAAAAAAGGAATAAAAGCTTGTTTGTAATCATAGCTGCTTATATTATCAAACCAAAAGTTTAGAGAACTGGAGACAAAATAACAGTGGGGTATTTGTCTAACCTGCAGGATAACCAGAGCATTTTCCATGGAGAGGTCATCTGATGGAAGTCCTTGACTCTTCCATATGAGCTGTTCACTCTCTGAGCACAGGAACAAACGCAAGTCGAACTCTGACACAAAAACAGGACAACAAGTGGGAAGTTTAGAGTTTATATGTTTTAGTTCTGTTTAAACACTCATTGCATTGTAGTTAACATTTTTTGTGTATTTTAGTTCCTATATTAATCTATGAGTTCAGCATCTTTTCAGAAAGAATAAGAGAAAATCATAAAAAACCTAAAAATGAACAAATAAAGACTTTATAGGAAATGTCCTCCTGCTGGTTTCTTAGATTTACTAACACATCTGAACCTTTTTCTTAACTCCTACCTGTCTTACATCCTCATTACAGGAATCAGGATGAATATAATTAGCTTAAACTTGTAAAAAGCCTTGTTGTAAATGTCAGAGTTAATTTTCACTCATTGAGGTTGGGGTATTTCACACAAAGTGTTTTAGCTGTAAGTATAATTAGTCTGGGGTTGATTCACTGAGGTTAATTTATAAAACAAAAGAGTGTTTTACAATTTATAAAACATTACATTACATTAGCTATCTAAAAAATAGAACAACTTGGTAAGTTTAGCCAGAAATTAAATCAGATACTTTAAATTTATAGAGCAAACAGAAATTGTAACCATCTGAATTACTGAACAGTGAATATACAGTAAGTATTTCCACCATATGTACTGACACAGAGCACTGGGCCGTGCGTGGGTGGAGGTGTGTCTGCGTGAATTGTAAACACAGGATTTTGCAATTGCTGGTTCCAATGCCTTAAAAGCACAACATATGCATTTTACTCTGTAATCCAGATTGAGCCATCCAGGTATCCAGACAGTGTCTCCTTCGGTCTTCAGAAGCAGCAGACAGGTAGGTGATGAAGGCTGCAGCAAGCAGAGCCCTGAGAGGAAGTGTGTCCAACTCACTCTGTATCTCAGACATCTGAAACAGAAACGAACAAGACAAAGAAGATTGTTGAGCAGACGAAGGAGCAGGTTAATAAAGTATGATCAAGGATACAGCTGGGATTTGGGAGGAATCAGAGGAACAATTGCAAAGAAAGGTAAGGATGAAAGAAGAGAATGAGGAAAGCAAGAAAGTTAAATGACAGCCACGCTTCCAGTTTGATCAGAATTCCTTTTAGGTACTTTCCCAGTATGCCAGGTGATAAGGGAGGATTAAATTAGGCTAATTGTGTACGGGTCCGACTACTTTGGAAAAAGTTAAATAGGAATTTAACATAAAGGAAACCACAGCAAGAGATGAGTGTGCAAAAAAAAAAAAAAAAAAAAAAAAAAAAGTCAATGTGCATTTAGGTGAAACTGTATGGAAATACGTGTGCAGAAAGTAAAGTTGTTGCCTTGAGAGAGGCCATGAAAGTGTGGGAGAGTGGGTGTGTGTGTGAGTGAGTGCGTCAGCCTGAGATTGAGTGTTTTAATTAAGGCACAGACAGATGCTGCAGAGAGGAGTAAAAACAGCCAGAGGGGACCCAAGGCAGCGGGATCCATTCCTCTACGTCTCTCTCTCACACACACACACTGACAGCTCCTGTTGCTCCTTACAATGTAAATGAGCCCCTCTTGGAGTACATTTGTAAACCCTCCCACAGCAGTGCGCAAGTCAGCACACTCATGCATCATACTACCTGTGCATTCCAACGTGTGTGTTCTCCGTCCAGCTGTGATATGAGCTGCTGGGCTGCAGTGATCGTGTCCTGAGCTTTAGTCACCTCAGCCTCCAGCTTTGCAGCCTCAGCAGTGTAACGCTGAAACCTGAGGAGAGAACAAGATGAGGGGAGGGAGCTTTGTTTGAATTAATAACTTTTCAGTTTGAAAAGTTATTAATTATAATTATGATTTCATTTGTTTGGACCCTTTAGAAAAAGGGTATGCAATTGGCAGGTATCTAATAATTACTGAAAGTTGACGGCAGTTAAATATCTGGCTATTAATACATTTTCCACATTTCACTACTTTCCCTTACCTCAATGTATTTTTATATGCATATTATTTTAAATACAAGCAAAAGGCAATTATGAGATGCAAGACAGATAATGGTTTAAAGTTTTTTTAACAACTAGAAACCTGAAAACGCTGGCATTTAAATTTTAACTCTTCTTACTAATCCAGCACATTTGGAATCTGTTGCATGTGATTTTATTTAAAGGTATCAATGTAAAGGGGACTTGAAGAAGAAAATCAATTTATATATGTATAACTTTCCTTATACGTCACCCATATATGCTAATTTCTGCTGCTCTCTCAAACGATTGCAATAAATACATTCATTTTTGTAGTTGTAATGTGAGAGCCCATCTAAAACTACTAAAGGTATGAACACCTTTGCAAAGCCCAGCAAAAAAAATAAATAAATAAACATAAATAAGTAAATTAGGTACTTCAAACCCTTTATGAATGTTAAACTTTATTACTTTATTCTTGTTTATTTTTTTCTAATTCATATTGTGAAAAAAATCTATGGGATTAAGGAAGATTTCTTAGGGAAACACTCCAATAGAAGTCAATCAGCTTATATGAACCTGGGAAAAATAATAATCGTGTAAGATGAGACTATTTAACACAATGCAAAAGAAGAAAGGAAACATTTTAAGGCAAAACACAGTTCAGCTCTCAGAGCAGTGGATGGATTTTGTGACTAGGTCTGTTTATGTTTCAGACAGCTTTTGGGAAAAAAAGAAATTGATCAACAAAAAATGTGAAATAAAATTGCTTTTTCTCAGTAATATTGCAATAGCTCTGCTAACAATAGCAGGTGTATAGGCATATATATATAATTTTTTACAAGAATACTGATTGTTTTGTGGTTACTGCTCATGTAATGGTTTTAATTATTTGCATAATGACACAAGTAGGAGAGGGTTTTCCTCTATGTTGTGGAGAATAGGCAGCATAAGGAATTATGGGTGTCCTTCTCATCTGGCTAATCTGAGTCATAGATTCCTCTTCAGCGCAGAAATCAAGGCCCATTTGTTCTGTTTTTTGCTGCTTCAAGTATACAGCTCTAACCGTAGCTACATGTAAGTCAGTGTTGAGTTTATCTGAACTGCTTTGAAAAAAGCAAGCATTTCATAAAACAAAGTTTCTTCTACCTTCTCCAAAGTGTGCTTTGATGATTGTTTTTTTATATCTTTCTTTTCATGCTGGGATTCCATGACTAAAATTAGGCAGCCTTATGTAAGACTGAGACTACAGAACATCCACACGCAACCATGACAACCAGAAGATGTTCTCAAGAAAAACAAAACATAATCAAAGAACTAAGAAATGCTAAAAATGGACGGAAAAGTAAGAGAGGGCATACTTCTCTTTCAACTTGTTGACTTTGGCTCCAACATTGTTGAGCTGGTCCTCTAGCTTATTTTTCCTCCCTTCTGTTTTTTTAAGGTTTCTGCACAGACAGACAAACACAAACATGTAAACTAAAAAATGTTTGCCATATATTCATATTTTATAGGAATGACAAGTCATATGTATAATGTATGTACTATATATGCATAATATGCTGTTTGTAAGCAAGAGCTACTCAATCTCACACAAGAATAGAATGCTATCAAAATCCCTCAATGTAAATAAAGAAAAACCCTGACACATAACGGTGCGGTTTTGTTTTTCTGATGAGTGTATGTGTTTGGCTCCTACTCCAGAAGTCCAGCCTGTTCCCTTTCCAGTGGGTCGATTTTCTCCAGGACAAAGGAGTACTGAACATTTGCTTTGACCCAGGCAGCCAGAGGAGCAGCTGCTGCGCTTGCACGCTTTGCATTCTGTGAGCAAAAACAGCAGCCACTGTCAGAAACAACTCAGACACAGCAGTCAGTGTCACCTCAAAGCACAAGAAGCAGAATAACATCAAGAGAATACAAACATCCACCAGAAAACACATCTATTTCTCATTCTGCTGCAACAAACGCTGTCTGACCTTAGGGTCGAACGAAGCCTTGTTCCTGTTGAGAAGCTCTTCCACACTCTGGCGGATCTCTGGAGTGATGTTTCGAGCATCAAACGTAGCAATATCCTCCCTCACGCCACGCTTTGCCAGAAAGCTGCAGAAAAGAACAGCAACCAGACAGCGTTTGTCTCAGTGAAGGCAGCAAGGGGTTGAATGAAACCCAGAAAATCAACAGCTTTCTTCCTAACCTTTTCATGCTGACCCAGGTGGTATCAAAGACCCCCATGAGTCTTAATACGCCCTCAAGGATGTCTCTGATGACATCAGGGGGCATCCGGAGAGAACGGATCTCAGACAGAGCTTCAGGCTTGATGTTTCCAACAGCTCGCTTTGCTTCATCTACCAAAGGCTGTAGGGCAGCACGGTTAAGTGAGCAATAATGCAGATGGGATTACAAGCATCGAAACTGGAAAAGCCAGTCAATTCAAGAACTTACTTGAACTTCCTTTAACTCGTCGTCTATTTTGGCTTTTCTCTCTTCAATCTTGGACATCTCATGAGCCATTTTCTCTTTAATTTTTTCCATTTCCGTCTTCTGGTCACTGGTGTTCTAGTTTAAAAAAAACACAGTTTATCTAAGTTAAAAACAAACACAGCTATAAGGGGGAATAAAAATACCAACTTGCTAAATACCCAATTTAGTAGGAAATAAGGAATATTTAATTTAAGGAATTTAAGTCATCACAGGTGCAGTTTTAAAAAAAAAACGTATGCCAGAAGATTGGCAACAAATGATGTGTTTTAATGATGAAACTCTGCTAAAATAATACTATGTCTATAAGCATATATATAAAACAGAGTAAGAAATTCCTGTCTATGTGGAGTGTGTTTAACATTTTGGCTCATACTGTAAATGTTTGCAGTTTCAGAATAACAGAAATTGCAATGCATCATAAAAAGGGGAAAGAGGAATTTCTAAAATCAAATCATAACAACCCAAACATCTTTATCCAGAGTAAAACTAGCTACAAAAATACTCATAATCCCTTTAACTGTTCCAAAAGTGACTCTTAATCTTTGCTTCTTTACAGCATGTTGAACTGAATGTTCCCATTCAAGAGCAATGTCAGTTTTAGCTTATTGCCAGCCTCCCTCGTGTTGTTCAGCTCTCCTATCCTGCCATCTTACTCTCCACAGGCAGCCTAGCTGCTAAACTCCAAGGGGATGAGTCTAGCTGTTAATTATCTCTCTGCAAACTGTTTCCACAGACATTTGTTGTTTTACTTTGTTTCCCTTTCTCCCTCCTTACCCATCAAACTGAGAGGCAGATTCCCCACAGTGTGGAAACAGAAAACTTTCAAAATCTTTTTAATCAGTCCCTCCATTCAGCTGTCTGTCCTCAAGACAGAACCAGAAAAAAATAAAATAGAAACGAGCTTTAGGACATAAGCAGCCGCAAAACAAACAAGAGCACATATATGCTTATAAAATACACTAAAAGTGTTCACTGTGGGAAAAGCACAGCCAGGGGAGATACAGGAAAAGTTTGGTGCATCATGAGAAGAGGGTTGTTTGGGGAAGATTAAAGGACCACCCTGCTTTGCAATGATTTCCACTAACATGCATGTACACATGGGAAACACAGAAACAAACACACACCTGCATGGAGGAGGTGATTTCCTGCAGGGCAGCATCTGCCTCCTGTTGTTTGGTTTTCAGCAGGGCACTCTGTTCAGCCGCCCGCCTCTTTAAGTCATCAACCAATGCTTTGGCCTCGTTCAGCTTGGACACACCTGCCTGCACACAGCAAGATGTGGGACATGAGAAATCCACAGGAGTTATGCGAAGCTTAGGACAAATGGGAATCTCCTAAAAAATACATTTTAATTTAATCAAAAAGCGACATTTAATTGTGTATAAATTACATAAAGTCAAATGGTGAAACACAATTAGAAAACATTTCATGAACTTGTTGTAATTTTCTGATAGGTAAGGTAATGTCTGTCTGGTCAACGTAACTTTTTTCTATCTGAGCCATGGTAAACATCCACAATGTTTTAAAAAATCAAATCTCACCAGAGATTGCAATTAACAAATATTTCCTTTTTTTTATAAAAACAAATACCCCATTTGTCGCACATAAAAATATGCGCTTGTTTACTTACCGTCACTAGGTCAAGTATTTAAACAAAGTAAACTTTTTCTCATATTCTGTTATGTAGAAAAAACATAAAAAAAACACAAAGCAGATATGTTTGTCGGATGAGGTCTGATGTTCACCCTGGAAAAGTCACACAGATAGACAGATCGGGTGGGGAAAAAAATTACATTTCCCCACATATGTCCATCATCACCAATATACAACATGGTGTTGGCAGTATCCTGCTGTGAGAAAACCATTTATCAGTAGCTTGTTTGTTTTTAATTCATCACGACATTGACCTTAAAGATGGAGTGAGAGCTACGATGAAATGCCTTCCAGTCCAGATCTAAATCCAGATGAGAATCCGTGGCACTATTTGCTAATTACTCTTCAGAAATGTTTTTCATCATGCAGGACTGAGCTTGAGCCCCTTGGCACAGAGGAATATACATAAAAATCTTTAAATGATAAAAAACATAAACTACACAACTTTTATTTTAACTCTACACATGGACTTAATTGTTTGTTTTGGTACATTTCAGAAAAAAACATCCATGAAATGTTTTGAACTACTTCGTTGGATGGGCAAAATATTAAAAAGTCCAAGGTGTTTGGATACTTTTAAAAATGCAGTATTTTTGCACAGAAAGTTAGAAAACAGTTTCAACAGAAGAAAATAACTAAACCAAAATCGAGATGGGAAACCACTTGGAGCTAGTGAACCAGGCATTAAAAAATGGTGGACTTTTACCTGAAGATGTTGCCGTCTTCTTGTAAGCTGGTTTTGCTTTTGGCCGTGTAACGTTCTGTACACATGCAGGAAGGACATGTACTGGCTCGGTGTTGCACCGTTTTCTTTACACGATTCGTGGACCATTAGAAACAAGCGACCCAGGTCTTCCAATTCTGACCCTGGTGATGTTCAGGTTCATAAAGGGGAGCAAAAAGATAAACAGACATTACAAAGGATTTCTAGAACAAGATTTGGCCATGACATTCTTTCTATTGCACTAGTAGACAAGCATTTTAGCCTGAAAAAAAAAATACATTTTCAATGTAGGGTTAAAAAGACCATGCAGGAAATAATACATATGACACTTGTTAAATAAATCACACTTAAATACATTTTAAAAAGCAATGAAGAAATTAGGAAAGGGAAATGACACAACAAGCCAAATGGAACCAAAACCTAGACCAGTTAAAAAATGTAATATATGTGTGTTTGATCATCCTTTCCCACCTGTGCTTTTCCTCTTGGTAGCCTTTTCGTTTTTATTCTCCACCTCGTCAGGTTCTGGTTTTGCCAGCAATAGCTCAGGAATCTTAAAAGATCCAAAGCAATAAGTGTTATGACTTTCATAGAAAGCAATATTAAACCTGCTACTGTGTTTTATTTGAAGCTACAAATTAAACTTTTTAAAGTCGGAAACACAGAAAAAAACATGACAGTTTTATAGAGGTTTAAAACGGTAAATATTTATGCATTGAGTCGCTCACTTTGCGGCAATCCTTTACAGTCTGCAAGTATGTGGATTTTTGAGGAAAAGAGGACAAAAACAAACAGCAAAAAAAGCAAACCCCTGACCAACAAGCAGAATCTGTGGGTCAGGAAAGCTGATTAAATACAATTAATGTCAGCAGTAACTGCTTTATTTAAAGTAAATCTTAGCCTCAACTGACACACACAAGATGTGAAGGTATATACGGTATTCAAAGTCAACTAAAGCAGATAAAGACAACTTTCTCATGTTTTAACTTTAAATGAAAAAACTGAAGTTAAAAAACTTTAACTGGAGGTTTTTTCATTGTTTTATTTTTCTATTTTTGTTAGTAGAACATTGACATAGTCTTCCATTGTGCACTTTTAACAAAATCTGGTATAATTATTGCTATTTTTATAACTATTGCCATTATTACATCCAACAATATGGCAACTAAACTGCCTGTAGAACACACAACCTGCTCATTTTAATGGGGCAAAGGCAAATTTGCCTTGAACATCTTAAAATATGTGCAGTGATCTTTGCAGATTACCCTAAACAAGGCCACTATTTCACACGCAAAAAGTATTTTTGTAGCTTTTGTCTCCAGTATAAACCCACTCGAATCACAGTGACCTCTAGAGAGGGATGTTTGCCAAACTTGATGCTCCTTCTCAGGAAGGATTTTTATCTGAACATCTGTTATTGTCTATGCAACAGTTTAACCTTTAGCAGGCTTTGGAAATTTGGTTGTGCATTTTCTAAGTTTTATAAAATTCAGAAGGGGAGCCACAGAGGACCTGAAATTTTATCTTGAGCATGCAGGATGTATTTGTTGCTCTGCACTGACCTTCTTCATGCTGCTCTCTGACCATCCTTCCATCCACTGGACTGAACACTTGCGGTAGAAAGCCGGGTTGCTTTCACAGTTGATGGTGAAATTAGAATTGGAGCAGTCCATAATCAGGACAACGTGGAGGTTCTGTTGTATTCCTACATGACATGAGTTTGGAATATTAAAGGAGTCAGAGTGAGGACAGAAACTACCTCTGGTCTAAAACCACTTTTTTCAGCTTTGATCCAAGGATGGAAATTCTACTTTCAACAATGTTGCCAATGTGTGTTACAGTATAATGGTGTTTGGTAACCATATTTATTGTATTATAAAACATTATATTTTGCCAATTTAAAAAAGGCACCTCACCAGAGGACTATTATTACCTTCTGAATCAGATTAGTCAAATATCTGATAAAATAATTAGAACAGAGTCAAACATTGATCTGATATTCTGTGTTTCTGCTCTGTTTTGCACTCCTTCTTCCTCCATCTGCTGTTACTTGCTCTTTTCTGTCCTTTAAACATTACACAAATATCTGTTATGATCAACAAAAATCTAAAATCTTTGAAAAAAACAAACTAGTCTACAGTAGATTA